GGAGTCTCTGCTGTTGACCAAGTGATCCTCTTGGCTGGCACTCCCTTAGATGATGATGCTATCGTAGGCCAATGTGGTATCAGTGAGCACTGCACTCTTGAAATAGTTGCTCGATTGTTGGGTGGTATGTATTTTAGGGACTTGAATTTCCCTAATTACTACACTTTTTTTTTTAAAGAATGTCATGTTGAATGTTTACAGTATTGGCAGCAGAGTTATGTGAAGTGACCTGACTGGTCTAACCTGAAGGTTATTGTTTGCAGCATAACTAATCAGCATAGCATCTATATTTCTTTCTCCACGTAAATGCTTTGCTAAAATTCTTCACAATTAATAAGGTTCCATGTGGTAGCCTCATTCAGAAAGTAAGGAGGCATGGGCTTCAGGGAAATTTGGCTGTCTGGGTTGTTAAGGTGTTTGTGTTGGCTTTCATTGGCAGGGGAATTGAGTTTAAGAACCGTGAGGACATGCTGCAGTTCTAGAAAACTGGTTAGACCACACTTGGAATATTGTGTTCGGTACTGGTTGCCTCATTTATGGGAAGGATGTGGAAGCTTTAGAGAGGGTGCAGAGGAGATTTACCAGGATGCTGCCTGGACTGGAGGATAGCTGTTTTGAGGAAAAGTTGAGGGAGCTGGGGGTTTTTTCATTGGAGTGAAGAAGGATGAGAGGTGACTTGATAGAGGTGTATAAGATGATGAGAGGCCTAGATAGGGTGGATAGTCAGAGACTTTTTCCCAGGGTGGAAATGACTATTACAAGGGGGCATAATCTTAAGGTGATTGGAGGAAGGTATAGGGGCGATGTTAGAGGTAGGTTCTTCACAGTGGTGGGCGTGTGGAATGTGCTGCCGGCAGTGGTGGTGGAGTCAGATACTTAGAGACATTTTAAGTGACTCTTGGATAGGCACATGGAGGATAGTAAAATGTAGGGTATGCAGGGTAGATTGATCTTAGTGGGATAATACGTCAACACAACATTGTGGGCTGAAGGACCTGTGCTGTGCTTTACTGTTCTATGTTCTATTTCTGCTAAATACATTAGGATTGGGCTGCATAAAGATGTTCCAGTGCATTTCATACAGGCAATCTCTTGCCACCAAAATTAAACTCACTCACTATTTTCTCCTGGCTGATGTCACTTTCAATTGCCTTCCCTCAGTTTGTTGCAGATCATGGAATGGTTGATGTTAAGAAATTTGACTTTGGAGTGTGTCATTATTAATGCCAGTTACTTTTTTTCAGATTCTAAGTAAGATGGTTGTGTGTTTTTATTTGCTGAGAACGCATGACTTTGCCATTGTCCAAGGGTGCTGCATCCACAGTTTGAATTAAGCATGGAATTCTAGATATTTTCTCAATTGAACTGTTCAGAGATGTTATTACTTGTGGAGCAGTGGGATTCTAACCTAAGCCTCTTCATCAGAGATGAGGACACTACCACTACATCACGAGTGTCAAGTGTGGAATTGTCTACTTTTTATCATTGTTGGTTTGGTGCTAGTAATTGAGTTGTTCAGCAAACGAACCATCTCTTCAGTGGTGTCTACTTCTCTCCAATAACTGCCCAAATTTGTGGATGTTTGTGCACCAGCCTCTGGATGGTCCAGCAGCTCTTGCAAGTCTGTAAATGACTTAAGATTTGTATAAAGTCTAGAATATAAATTTACAAACAGCAAACAAAAGTTTAGTTTGAAAGTCCATTTTATGTTGTCTTAAAATACCATAAGTTTTTCTCTCTCTCCTTTTTGTTTTTAGGCAAGGTCCATGGATCCCTTGCTCGAGCTGGAAAAGTAAAAGGTCAGACTCCCAAGGTAGGTTTGACTGAAAGCAGCCTGCAACAAAAATATCTTTAAGATTTTGCTGTACTTTTGTGTTTGTGTTTTTTTTGTGTATCTAAACAGTGTGCATACAATCATACTGAATGTGATAACCAACCATGCTAATAACTATATCAGGTGGGGTTCCGAATTATCTCACCTGTCAAGTGCATGAGCCACTTCCTGTTGCACTTGGTTATATTGGTTGGTGTTTGTCTATTGTGGAAAAACTGTTTCTAATTTGACTGAAGTTCTGTGTTCATTTTAGTTAACAAAGCTTTACACAAGATGCAATAATAAATTTCCTTTCAGTGGAACTGGTGTAACCTGGAGGCTGTGTGAATATACAACAGTCTTAAGTCTTGTACATATGAGTGAGAACCTCTGAGTCATAGAAGCAGAAGCAGAAGTAGGCCATTCAGCCCATCAAGTCTCTCCACTGTTTCAATGAGATCATGGCTGATCTGATAATCCTAAATTCTGCTTTCCTGCCTCTTGCTTTATAATCCTTGGCTCCCTCAGATTAAAAATCTGTCTCCGCTCTGAATATGCTTAAGGACCCAACCTCAACAGCCCTCTGTGGTAAAGAATTCTACAGATTCACAACTTGCAAAAGAAATTCCTCCTCATCTGCTTTAAAATGTGTGACCCCTTATTTTGAGATAATGCCCCCTAACAAAGGGAAATAACCTTTTGTCTATCCTGTCAAGTCCCTGAATCTTGTGTTTTAATAAGGTCTCATTCTTTTATATTTCAATCAGTGCAGGCTAAATCTCTCCTCACACTGGATAGGTTTGTCCTGCTGAGGCAAGGAAGGAATGGGTAGGGTGAGGGAACTTTGGATGACAAGACATGTGGAACATCTCTTCAAGAGGAAGAAGGAAGCTTACTTAAGGTTAAGGAAGCAAGGATCGGACAGGGCTCTAGAGGGCCACATGGTAGCCAGGAAGGAACTGAAAAATGGACTCGGGTGAACTAGAAGGGTGTATGAAAAGCCTTGGCAGGTAGGATCAAGGAAAACCCCAAGGCATTCTGTGAGGAACAAGAGGATGGCCAGAGTGATGGTAGGGCCAATCAGGGATAGTGGAAGGAACTTGTGTGTGGAGTCTGAAGAGGTAGGGGTGGTCTTTAGTGAATACTTTGCTTCAGTATTCACCAGTGAGAGGGACCTTGACGTTTGTGTGGACAGCATGAAACAGGCAGATGCTCGAACAGGTTGATGTTAGGAAGCAGGATGTGCTAGAAATATTGAAAAACCTGAGGATCGATAAGTACCCTGGGCTAGACAGGATAATACCCAAGGTTGCTACGAGATGCGAGGGTGTGGTGGGCAAATTATAGGAGAGGATTCTGAGGGTATTTATGATTTGCAAAAGCATAGTTTGATTAGAAATAGTCAGCATGGCTTTGAGGGACAGGTCATGCCTCTCAAGCCTTATTGAATTCTTTAAGGATGTGACCAAATCCATTGAAGGTTGAGCAGTGGATGTGCTGTATATGGATTTTAGCAAGGCATTTGATAAGGTTCCCCATGGATTTGGGGAAATTTGGCTCTGGATACAAATCTGGCTATCCAGTAGAAAAGAGGGTGGTAGTAGATGGAAAGTATTCAGCTTGGTGACCAGTGGTGTTCTGCAAGGATCTGTTCTGTGACCTCTGCTGTGTGATCTTTATAAATGACTTGGATGAGCAAGAGGAAGTGGAAGGTGGGTTAGTAAGTTTGTCGATGACATGAAGGTTGATGGAGTTGTGGATAGCATGGAGGGCTGTTGTAGGTTGCAACGGGATATTGACAGGATGCAGAGCTGGGCAAAGAAGTGGCAGGTGGGAATTCAACCTAGAAAAATGTGAAGTGATTCATTTTGGAAGGTCAAATTTGAATGCAGAATACAGGGTTAATGGCAAGATTCTTGGCATTATGGAGGAACAGATCTTGGGGTCCACATCCATATCCCTTAAAGTTGCTACCCAAGTTGACAGGGTTGTTAAGAAGGCATTTGGTGTGTTGGCATTCATTGGCAGGGGAATTGAGTTGAAGAGCTGTGAGGTCATGCTGCGGTTCTATTAAACTGGTTAGACCACACTTGGAATATTGTGTTCAGTACTGGTTGCCTCATTTATAGGAGGGATGTGGAAGCTTTAGAGAGGGTGCAGAGGAGATTTACCAGAATGCTGCCTGGACTGGAGGACAGCTGTTTTGAGGAAGCTGGGGGTTTTTTCATTGGAGCGAAGAAGGATGAGAGGTGACTTGATAGAGGTGTCCAAGGTGGTGAGAGGCATAGCTAGGGTGGATAGTCAGAGACTTTTTCCCAGGGTGGAAATGACTATTATGAGGGGGCATAATTTTAAGGCGATTGGAGGAAGGTATATGGGAGATGTCAGAGGTAGGTTCTTTACACAGTGGTGGGTGTGTGGAATGTGCTGCCAGCAGTGGTAGTGGAGTCAGATACTTTAGAGACATTTTAAGTGACTCTTGGATAGGCACATGGATGATAGTATAACGTAGGGTATGCAGGGTAGTTTGATCTTAGTAGGATAATACGTCAGCACAACATCATGGGCTGAAGGGCCTGTGCTGTACTGTTCTATGTTCTAAGGCAATCCTTCCATGGCTGGTATTACCTTGCTGAACCTTCTTTGAACTGCCTCCAATGCCAGTGCATCATTCCTCTGACCCTAAAATGTTTACTATTGTGTGTGGTACTGACTTGTACTGTTTTAGAAAAACCTCCTTACTTTTCCATTCCCTGTGAAATAAAGACAAAGTCATTGATATGTGCTGTAAATAATTGTCAGGCCAGTACAGATTCTGGTAGCGCACCATTTTAAAAATGGGTTGCCAGACTGAAAATGCCTCCAATCTCTTAACCATCTGTATTCCTGTGTTCTTTTAGCCTCCATGAAGAATTCTAGAAAATTGGAGGCAGAATTTCCCCTTCATGGATACTTGGCTAAAAGATGGATAGGACTGGCAGCTGAATATCCCAGGCTTTAGATGTTTCAAGTGTCATAAACAGGGAGGTAAAAGGAGTGGGGAAGTTGCCTTACTAGTAAAGGAGTATCTGTCAGCTGTACTGAGGGAGGATACATCAGGACTCATGTAGTGAGGCAATATAGGTGGAACTTGGAAATAGGAAAGGTGAAATCACAATGCTGGGGGTTCCCCCAGGGTGGGGGGTGGGTCTGTTACTAGGGGACACAGGTTCAAGGTGTGAGGGGGCATGTCTTAAAAATAGATGAAGCAAGTTTTTCACACAAAGGGTGATGAGTGCCTGGAACATGTTGCCAGAGGAGGTGGTGGAAGTTGCATTCAAGAAGCACCTGCATGAATACATGAATTGGAAGGGAATAGAGGGATATGGATCCTGTAAGTGAAAGCAGTTTTTTTTTAGCATGGAAAGGCAAAATGTGGCTGCGCAGGCTTGAAGGGCATGATCCTGTGCTGTATTGTTCTTTGTTCTTACTATGCCATGCTAACTTTGTTTGATCATATTAAGTGATTCTAAAGGCTCTTATTGCATTCTTTTATAATAGATTAATAGTTTTCTGCTAACTGGCCCCTTCCCTTTTGTTAATTAAATGTGTTATATTGGCAGTTTTCCAATCTAGGATTTAAAGGATTACTCCAAGATTATCAACAGTGCTTCTGCAGATGCTGCCTGACCCACTGCTTTTCAGCATTTTTGTTTTTGTTTTCAGCACGTGCTTCCACTATCTCTGTTTTTGCTTCCTATGTTAGGATACATCCCACCAGATTCAGGAGATTTATTGGTCATAAGCCCCATTAGTTTCCCTTTCACTTGCTAGTTGTATTTATTTCCAGTCCTTTTTTTAACTTCTTGATCTCCATCCTTTTTTAAATTTGAAAAAGGACATGCCCTCCAGTACTGCTTTTTACCAAACTTGGCTCCAAGTGTTAGTGTTGTTTTGTCCTAAAACTTTAAATTTTCATCAATTACTATTTTGCATAGGTTGCAAAACAAGAGAAGAGGAAAAAGAAGACTGGCCGTGCAAAGAGGCGCATGCAGTACAATCGCCGTTTTGTAAATGTTGTGCCATACTTTGGGAAGAGGAAGGGACCAAATTCAAATTCATAAAATGTTGTTTTTCCATCAGAAACTGATTTAATTTGATTCAATGTGTTGATATATATGCGCCTCTCTTCTTTTTAAGAACTGGCTCACTCGACTGGAACTATTTCAGATGTGAAGTAATTGACTTGATTGGTATTCAAATTCTGGAGTGTGATTAATAAACACTATTTCAAGCAGCTTAGTGTTTTGTCTTAATCTGTTCAACAGTATAACTGTACACCCAATTCACCGTACAAGAATTCTGCCCAATTATTACTGTTAAGCTGATTGAAAAGATAGTTTTATAATAGCAATATATTTTCAGATTTCCTCATTGATGTATTCTACTCCTGAAGTATGATTTTTAAATTCCAGTTGCACTGTCTACTAGGTGGATTCTATGCTGATGCATTGATTTGTGCCTAAATTTATACTGAGTGTAATCTAAGTGACTTGAGACATTTTTACCTAAAGGATTTAAGGCAAAAGAGTGTGGTCATCTTGGAACTCATCTTTAAATGGGAACAAGTTATGGTGATCAGGATTTAACATTTATTCAACACTTAATATCAAATGAAACCATAAGGGTTTAGTAACATAATTGGTATTTACTGGATTTGAAATCCTCCATATCAGCGAAGTTGATTCACTTGTTCTCATTCTCCTTTTAAGGGAGAAAGAGTAATTGCAAATAACAACATTCCAATTCCTTTGCATTCCATTTATTCTATGAAATACAAGTGTTTGGCCACTATTATAAAGGATCTACAAATTGTAATGTGCTGCATGGTTTAGTGGCTTGTAAAAGTGCAAGAATGGTCATCTAATATTGGGCTGTTAGTGGCAAATATGAATTAAAGACAATATTGATAGAAGTAACCCTGGTCAGCTCTTTAAATTTGTATTCCTATACCTCAAATGTTCAATACCTCCTTTTTTAGTTCAGATGTTTTGTTGCCTTTTTGAACCTGCAGAAAGAAATTAATAATCTGGATGAATTCTCTTAAAGCTCATTTACCCTTCACTTTATTCTGCATTCTCTATACCCCAGTATAGAGAATGCTTTTTTTAAATCTACTTTTAGCAGAACCAAAAAGCCAATCAAGTGTTGGAGCTACACCCAAATGCAAATTGCTGCCTTAAGTAAGATGGGGTACAGGGAAGCTTACAAAACTTTCATCAAAAATCATTTATTAACTGTGGGATGTTTTCTTTAAAATTGCAAATAAAATTCCATATACAAATAAGGGAGAAAGGCATGACTTAGATCATTCAGTCATAGGTGTACAGTACAGAAACAGACCCTTCATCTTAACCAGTCCAAGCTGTATGTAATCCCAGCCTAAACTAGTCCCACCTGCCTACTTGGTCCATGTCCCTCCCAAACACTTAATCATGTATCTTTTAAACATTGCAACTGTACTTGCATCCACCACTTAATGTGGAAGTTCACTGCACACACAAACCACCGTTTGATTTTTTTTTTTTTTTAAAAAGCCCCTTAGTCTTGAAGGCTCCACCCCAGGGAAAAGATACCTGCAAAATCACCTATATATACACATGATTTTGTAAGCATCTACAAGGTCCAGTGAAAAAAGTCCCAGTGTTATAACTCGGACAAAGAGGATGCTGAAGTACACAGCAGGCCAGGCAGTATCTGGCAGAAAGGAGCAGTCAACGTTCTGGATATTACCTGAAGAAGGGCAATACCCAAAACGTTGACTGTTCCTTTCCTCCAGCCTCCTGTTTGCCTATCTTATTCCAGCATCTGCCGTTTTCTTGTCTCTGTCTTTATAACTTACCCTCCATTCCTAGAACTAACCTGGTAAACCTTTTCTGAACCCTTTCCAGTTCATAACAGGGCAATCAGCATTGCATGCAGTACTCCAAAGAGGCCTCACCAGCACCTTTGTAAAACCTCAACATAATGTCCCAACTCCCACACTCAAAAGGTCTGAGTTATGAGGCAAGTGTGCTGAACGCCTTTTTAACCAACCTATCTATATGTGAAACAAACTTAAAAAAAATGCCTGAAGTGTCATCTGCAAACTTACTGACAAACAAGAGTGGGACCCAACCCAACATTCTAAGCAGTAATCCAGTCAGTCACACTTACCCCGAGATAGTAAGAAATGCAGTGCTGAAGTCAGGGATAACACAGTGTGCGGCTGAGAGGAGCAGGAAAGTTGACTTTTCGGGTCCGGAGCCTTCTCCAGAAAAAGTGTTTCCGGAGGAGTAGCACCCCATATTCCGCCTTGGGAGCCTACAACGTGGTCTCAATGTGGACTTACAATCTATTTTCGCTTCCGCCACCTCACTGACCAATCCATTACTGCTTACCTGCACTCACCTATCACCATCCCACCTACCTTTTCCCCGTCCCAACCCTCTATTTATTTCAGAGCTGCCTTCCCCTTCCCCAATTTCTGAAGAAGGGTCCCGATCCGAAATGTCAGCTTTCTTGCTCCTCTGATGCTGCCTGACATGCTGTGGTCCTCCAGCTTCATACTGCGTTATCTCTGACTCCAGCATCGGCAGTTCTTACTATCTCTAAGGTCAGGAACAGCAGTGCTTATCCACCAGGTCTCAAAGAAAGGACAACAAATTTTGCCTAATCAGCAATACCCACATCATTTGAACAACGTTTTAATTCGATGTGACAGAAGCTATTCAATGAAACAATTGCCCACAACGAGGACACGTGGAAATCACACATGCTCCACAAGATAAAGAGTCGTCTCTGACACTTGTCGCCGAGACTATTCAGACTGCGCATGCGCACGGTCCGCCTAAAGTGCTTCATGGGCGTTCTTTTGTACGTGCGCATGTGTAGTTGATCGCAGTTATAGTGCGCGTGTGCGGCAGATCTCTCTTTTTCT